TGTGTTTGCAGTGCTGTGTTTGGAGAGACAGAGGGCTGTGTTTGCAGGCAGCAGTGCCTGCCTCCGGCACAGCTCACCCGGCGCGGCTCCCCCGCAGCTCCCACGGAAGATCTCCGCTCCTTTCCCCACTGTCCCCACCTGTAGGGCAGGAGCCATCCAGCCGCAGTGGCATCTGCGGGCTCTGCCAGCAGCACACTCACCAGGTGTTCCCCAGCGGCTGGAGAAGCAGCCCGGTATCTCAGCAGGCTCTGGTGCCGTCCCCATCACCGAGCAGGGCACACCGGAGAGGGCAAAGAGCAGCGTCACTTGCTTCCAGGCTCTCTGAAAAGGGATCCACACGTCCCTCAAGCCTGGCTATCAAATTCATCTGCTAGGCTCTTCCACACAGGAGAAAATACTCTGCAAGTCCAGAGGTTTTATTCAAGATGTGTTCATCTAAACTCTTTACAATCCAGCACTGGGACTAGAGCACTGCAGAGTTTAAGGCATCACTTCTAACAACACCACCCCCCCCCAGTCAAAGGTTTTTGTACATCCCTAAAAGATCTAAATTGCAGATAAGATCAATATCAAACAGAAAAACTTGTGTATTTGAATTAGTTAATCCACCTACTTCCACCCAAGAAAAAACTGAAACAAACAGAATCCACCTAACAGTCCTCGAAAGCAAATAAGCAGCATCCAGTAAATGATATTAAGCCTTAATTGAAAGCATATTGAAAGTATGAATTGAAAATATTCTCTTTAGGCTTGTGGGTTTTCAGGAATTTCCCTCCCTTTTAAAAAAACTAATAATTTAATCTCAATATATTAAACTGACCTACATAAAATATTCCATGTAAAATATTATTTCTGCCATAAAACATATAATCTTTCACTGGTTTAATTCCATTAGAAAGCATACATTAAGGTCTATGTATTATGATCATTAGGATAATAAAAGTAATACAATATCACTTTTATTATGCTTGAATTTAAAACATTCTTCATATGAACACAAAGAATAATTAAGGGGATGGAAGAAAGGTGTTTTTTTTTAATTTATAATGAAATAAAATCACAGGCGAGAGCAAAGAGACTGGTTTTTAATATGGAAAAACAGAAGCCATACTTTTTATGCCCACTGTGTAGTCTTAAAGCTTTTTGTTCTCTTTAAATTTCCTTATCTTTATAACTTTATAACTTTGATTTTGGTAATTTAGTATAGCCAGTATAAGCATAGATTCTCTACCCCTTACAACTCCTCTTCTGAGTGTCATGGAGGTTTTGGAGAGAAAACATTTCTGCTTGAACAAAAAAAGTTTCCAGGTATTTTCATTATGAAGAAAAGTTTGGCAAAAAAAAAGACTTTCAGCTCTGTATTATAGTTCTCAAAATATATTTGCTTTAAAACGCAAGATTTTTTTAAGCTCTTCTCCAGATTTTTGAAGCTTGGTTTGTAATTTATTAAAATTTGGGAATAGAAATGTGATTAAGACCAGGAAATAAAAACAAATCTGTTGTAAGCCACCCAATATGTCATACTTTTTGACATAACCCTGGAAGCCCCAGGGCCCACAGTCAGTTCAAGAGTTTTAGCAGTCTGAAAAGCAGACACAAGATTATTTATGTAAAGATACTAAAATGTCGTGTTTTGGAATGTAAAGACTATGCTTCAAGTTTAAAAGCAGTCATGTTTCTAGCATATATTTTACTGGACAACAGATGAAAGCACAGACCCCAAAACCTCAAGAAAATAAAATTACTTCACAAAAAGTGGAGAAGAGCTGGGACTTAAAAGTTGAACACCTTAGCAGTAGGAAAACTGAGTGCATTTAAGAGAATGAAATTCCAGTTGGGTTTCAGCCAGAAAATACTCCCTCCCAGTTCCCTGCTATGGTGGGAATGCCAATGAGAAGATGATGTTGTGTGCAAAGCAGCTGTTCCCACCAGGTGCTACATGTACTGTCACAAAGACAGTGATTTCGTGTTGTGCCTGAAGCACGTGCAGGAGACAGGGGTTTAGCAGCACACAGGTTTAGAATGCAGGAGTCATAGCTGCCCTTCAAGCCTTCTTGTGGTCCAGCACCTCATGCAGCTACACATCAGTTTCATCACTTGGAGCTACTTGAAAAGGCTCTGGTGGAAATATCCTTGCACTGAAAAAAACATTTGTGTGTACGTTTTTAACCATTTCCTGTAATCAAGCAACATTAAAACTAAACATGACCTCTCATTTTTCTCATTTTTCTAAAAAAAATGTTGATTCTCTTTTCTTCCTAAAGTATGTGGGAATGAATTGTATTCTTCAAAGCCACTCCATTCTGAGGGACTGCACACTGAGCATCAGGCACCATGGATCAGTGGCTATATAGAGAAGGGAAGAGCCAGGAGGTGTCCTTTTCATGAACAGGGAATTTAGATTAGAATTCTCTGGAAAGGTTTGCTTCCAGCCCACAAAATTAACTTGCAAGAGGAAAAGACTCTTCTCTGCCAGCAATAAATCACCTTCTGAAGACTGGAACTACAGGCAGGATTAGGATTCATGTTTTCTTGAAAGGGGTGTTGGGCTATGCCATATCCTCACCTATTGGTGTGTTTTATTAGCTCTAGTGCATCTGTAATATTTTCCTTGATTTACAGCAGCTTCTCCTGTTTAGAGCTCTCTGGCTTGCAGTGATGGAACCATGGAATGGAAACAGTCCTAAGGCAACATAAAATTTTGGAACTGTAGATTCTCTTCTGGTCAAAAATTGGCAGTGTGGCCACATTTCTAGGATGCCCTCATTAACTTGACTGATAACATTTCACTACTGCAGGAAGCCTTGGATTCTGTCTTAAGATTTATTAGAATCAACTGTCCCCTTGGAAAAAGCCAGAATTTGCATTCTGATCAATGTCCTAACAGGCTAAATATTTCCATTCCAGATTTTTGGAGAGCAAAGGTATATGCTTCTGGAAACCCAGAGGAGGAAATAGGTGAGTTCACGGTCGGATTTTCACTTCTGGACAGGAAGTTAGGGACAAAATAACAAAACTGAATGTCCTAGAAGACTTTGTATATCTTTTATGTGTAGAAGATAAGCATTGTGAGTTTGTAGTTGCCTAGTGCTGCAGAGTTCTGTCGTGTGACAGACACCTTAAACTATGTGTATGAAGACAGAGCATAGGACTCACATCCAGAACACAGGCACCCTCCTGCTTGACATACAACCCTGATGTGCACACAGTGATGCCAAATCACAGCACATAGTTTACACTTTAAAATTCTCCTTCCTCCCAGCAAAGATTTACAGAGGCAGAACAGCTGGGCAAGCCAGGAGGCGAGGCACTGGGAGGTCGGTATGTGCATGTGCATATCTGGAAGAAGCAATAACAATTTGGAAGGATGCAGGTTGGCAAAGTAGTGTGGATGGGGGATTTTGCTTTTGGAGTAAAAGTAAAGCCCTGGCTCTAAAACTCAGCTGAGACCTGCACACACCGAAAGCTGAAGTTGTTCATTATCATAAAACACCCTTGAGCCCCTTAGCCACAGGTTCACATGGCTTCATGGTATGCAGGGGTTTGAAAGAACAGACTCAGACTCTTTTCAGCTTCCTACTCTGGCTCAGCATCTTTTTTTTGGTATGCATTTAAACTTTGTTACATCTGAAACTCAAAGAATGTATTTATTATTTAATGGTGTATACTCAGTTGTTTTCAATATTTGCAGATTACACATATGTTATTGTAGGAGCTACTCTGGGAGCAGTTCTAGCAATCGGTTTTGTAGCAGTAATAATCTGCATGATCAAATCCAAAATGATTGACGGTGTCTTTGGAGGTAAGAAAAATACTCCTGATCCCTTTTCCATAGGTCTAGCTCTCCTCATCTTCTGATACAGCAGATCTGAGATTCAGTGTTAGCAATTGCATATATATAACAGCTCTGGGCTTCCTGTGAAGAACTGTTTTAAAAGTGTCTGAATTGCTGGACTGACTAGAACTGCAGATTTACATTTCATTATAACCATCTCTACTCTTTAGCCTCAAAGTTGTTTCTCATGATACCCTGGGGATATGCTACAATCAAACTCAAATCAGACAAAGTATTAGCTAAGGTACAGCTCTGAGAAAATTGTCATGAGATATTCCAGCTGGAAGAATCAAGAAGGGCTTTAGAAAAGTTGAATGACACAACTAATATCAAAGAGTTTTGTCTTAGAATGGATGGCTGGATCTTTACCAGCTGTAACTATGCACTCCTGGTTGCCTCCTCACAAATTCTGTGGGGACCTATCACCACTCTGTTCCTTGTTTCTCAACTAACCACATTTTCCTCTTCTCACTTTAGAGTCAGATGGCAAAATGGATAGAAGGTAAGAATCATGTTTTCTGTTATGCACAACTTTTAATTTCTCTCTCTTGTTATGCATGATGCTTCCCCACGTTCAAATGATTGCATATAACATACATGATAAGCCTCTAGAGGACTGGGATATCTAGTGAATCTGTATGGAAAAAGGAATTTTCTTCTAACAGCATGATAACATTTCAGAAATACACAAGAAAACCCAGCAGATGGAGATCTTTTAAAAATTAAAATCCTTCCAACACTTTGGATGAAGTTTGTTTTTTTTTTTCTTTTTTTTGCACCATGTATAATTACAGCAAACTCTGCATAAATGGCTTCATCTAAGGTTACTGTGTCTGCATCTCAGTTCTGAAAACTCCCTTCTCTCTGGGCTCTTACAAGTTAGGGTCATGCAGTGATCATTCCTGCTGGAAGGGATGCCTCTTTGCCCTTCACCTTCCTCCCCCTTACCCAGAAACAGTGAGGCCATTTTAGGGTTTGAGCAGCTGACCAGTTCACCAGCAGGAGAGCAGTGCCAGCCTTCTCAGCCACTCTGCATCTCCCCAAGGACAGGCACCAGGGAAGGAACAGAGACTCTGGACTGCAAGTTGTGTGCTGGGTCATGGCAACCTGCAGATGTGGACGCTTTTTTGTGTCCCTTTGAGACATTTTGTAAGTGGCTAAAAAACTACAGAAGTTAATTAATGAGCATTCTCATCAAGTGAAAGCAACAGCTGTACTCGATGATCTCAGAAATGGCTTTTGGCCTCTCTCAGAGAGCTGGATACAAGAATGTCCCCACCAGAGCCATTCCTCATAAAGAGAGCACAGCATGTGTAAACACTGAATTGAAGACCAAAGCAAGGACAGCCTTGGCAGCAGTCAATGTGTTGTGTGACAGAGAAGAGCCCCAGACCTGAGGCATGTGTTGTTTTCCCAGGGAGACACTCCTTCAGTGGTAACCGGCACAAAATGTTTCCTTTCTAGTAACACACCATTCTCTGACAAGACTCTGGCAATTTCTGTGCATTAACCTGGAGAAGATTGTTAAGGTCAAAAGAACAAACATAGAATACCTGGTAAACTTTATGGTGCTTTCAGGACAGTGTAGACAGAACAATGAACAGGAAAGTCAGAAGAAAGAACTAAGCCAGAACAGAAAAGCCAGAGACCAGATTCAAGAGAAAAAGAGAATAAAGGGATGAGAGGGACAAAGACAAGAAGAAACACAGAAGGCAGTGGTAGATTTACTGCCTGGGTGAAATGCAGACAGGATGATCTATGAACTGTTCCACAGTGGACTTCTCTAGCTGTCTTTGCTGTTTATTATGTGTCATATTTTCCTTCAGAGACAGTCTGAACATTTATTACATCATCCTCTGATCTTTCTAGGGGAAGTGACTGACTTTGTGGTGGCAGCAAAATTTAATGTCTTTAATGGTAACCTTACATTGACCTCTTTGATGTTTCCTTATCCCAGTCTACAAGCATTTGCTAAAAGGTAGAGTGAAATTTTCAGTTTCATGACAAAATTCTGGTCTTAAGGCTGGAAGTGTGACACAATACGCAAACATTTTTCCTTAGAACCACTGACACTGACCAGTGAGAGAAACTCTAGTTCATCAATGTTTTGGGGCAAAACTATTTATGTTAAAGATGACACTTTTATGGCTAAATAGAAAAAAACCCCTAGAAATCCACTGTTGCTTCTTAATCAGTGTACTTTTCAATTCTGCTGTGGTAGTCAGTAATTTACTACAAATCTTTGTTCTCATTCACTTCAGGGCATCTATGTATTACTCTCTGGTAGGTCACTAAGGGATTCTATAATTCTGGTAATAATCCGTGGAAACAGTATAGCCTTCCACTGGCTTTGAGGAAACCTCTAGCAGTAAAAATACTACCAGAACCATAGAAATATTTAAAAATACCTCTAATAAACTAATCCTTAGTAGGATTTATTCAGGTCACCAGAGAGACATATGATAATTAGGTCTAAGTTGATTTTACCTACTTGCTTCAGTTCCCTAGGGAATTCTAATTCATGGAATTTTTAGACAAGTGCTTAGTCCTAGAAAACCCTCTGATAAAGTGAAGTCTATTATCTGAAATCACCTGATTTATCCCAGCCAACCAAATAGCCAGCCTGAACCCCTCAGGAAAAGGCAACCTGAAACCTTCAGTGTTAAGAGACAGCATCCCTTTAGGACTGGAGAACTGGCAAATCTGCAAACAGCTTCATTTTCTGCTTGACCAGTGATGATTATTAATGCTTGTTCAGGAAAAAAAACACTTAATCCAACTGACGAAACACTTAACCCAATTCAGCCAAATTTTGTTTTAAATTTTACATCATTATTCCTACAAATGCCACCATCCACTCAATATTTCCCTAGCTGGGAAATACTCCAAGTGGGCATCACCCAGCGCTGTAGTTTCGTAGCCAATGGAGTTGCTCAGCCTCGTACCAGCTGAAGGTCTTGATGCAGATAATCATCCTCTGTGTCAGAACCCCAATTAGCTGGTACTGAACCTAACTGACCCCTTCCAAGAACACATTTCACTAAAATCAGAAAGTATTCAGATGCATCCCCCTTGATAATTCCCAAAATACTTAAAATACAAGGCCACATGACACTGACAGTTCATTGTGAAATAATTAACAGATTTTACCACTTTATTTATTCAGGTACATAAAATTAAGATTTAGACAATCAATTCACAATAGGTTGCCCTTAAACTCAATGGGATATTTACTAACACTTGAGAAAAAAAAAAGGCTTGAGGCAAAATTCTGTCAGCCAACAAAACAGAAATTTATGTGTCAACTGACAATTATTTAATGTCCTCTTTTTTAATTAATAGCTCATGTCAGTATCAAATGCCATCTTGGTGTAAGCTTGGTAAATTATAATGTCTAAAAATTTCATGCAAGTTTAATGTATTCATAAAAATGTCTGGGCACATTTAATGCTGGCAATATTTTGAATTAACTACAGTGCATGTCAGCCAGATTTATTTTGACAGGAGACAAAGAGACATACACAGACAAGGAGAAGGGTGGAGAGACAGAGAGTGTTTACTAGAAAGGAAAAGGTACATATTTTAAACCTACTGCAAATGAATCTGTTGTCAACACATCCTGGGCAACAGCACACACAGAATTCCCCATGCCACTCACTGGGTTCTATAGGACTCCATGTAAACCATTCAGGACTCCATGTAAATAATTTGGTAGAAAATCAAGTTTTAAATGCAATACACAAGTTCTTCTGATGTTTTATGGAAGAGAGGAGGAGCTTGGGAGGTGCTTGCCAAGTGTATTGGTGATTTTCTTTTCCTGTGCAAAACCTCACCTAAATATTCTATTTTCCTTCCTGACTTCGAAGGGACCAACTTCTCTCTCCTTTGCTAGACCGGGCTTGAGAAATACAGGATACTTTTGAGAACTGTAGCATTCTCTAGGTGAACGGAGGAGGTGTTGGAGTGCAACCGCACCTTGAAAGCCTCTAATATGTTCTAAAAATCTCTGAAAATAGTGCCTCACATTGCATAGGAGGTGAAATTATCCACTTTGAAAATATAAACATTGCAGATGGATGGCATGGAAAAGACTAGCTTTGGGCAATTGTATGCAGGTTTCAATGTTGAGCTGTAGTTTCTTCCAACTATCAGAACCGTGGCAGCCTAAACTTCTTAACCAAGATTATTTTTTCTAGCATTTTGTCATGTTCAGGTCTGTAGCCTGACAGGCAGGGACGGTGAGCAAATCTGATTTAGAAATATCATTTTCTTCAAACAGATTTAAAGTCAGACACAAAGACAAACATGTTTTGGAGATGAGAAGAGTTCTTTCTGATCCAAATAGTCCAACTTGGTCTATAACTCTGTGAATTGCAGAATGCATCACTTAACAAACAGGAAGCTAAAAACATAGTCACGAGTCCCGTCACCTGCAAATGAGATACAATCTGTCAGTCACCAGAGTCAGAGCTCACAAATAAACTTCACTGGAGACCTAGTTTTGATTCTAGAGTGGGTACTTGAGAAAGCCACATGTGAGAGGCCTTTGGAAAATGGGCCCAAAATTTACAAACCAAAATCCATAAGTAAATACAAATTGAAAAAAAAAAAGAAAATAAAGAGAGACTTTGGCCTCGTCTGAGAGTGTCACTGGAAGAGTGATGCAAAAGGGAAAAGGGTCAATATGGAGAGAACAAGACTCTGGGCACTGAAATGTATTGCAGCCCCTCAAATATTCAGATACTAGCTATTCACAGGTAACAATATTAGTTCAGCCTACAGCCTGGCAGAAAGTTACCTGCATCTATCTTTACTCTTCTAAAACAAGCCTATTTTGTTCCTCTCCCAGGAATATTCCTTTTAAACTATGCAGTCAGTTTCATCTTTGATCTGCAGCAGACCAGTCATGTAGATTCAGCAGAATCTTTGACACCTCTGTGTGAATGGATTCTATTAACATCCCTTGGTGATACCTCAAGCTGTTCTTTCACTTGCCACTCTTGGTTCCCCAAGCAGACCTTCACAAGGTCTTTCATTCTGACAAGTAGATATTCTACATACAATTCAATCAGAATTGCTCAACAGGGGGAGCAATGACACTTAACCTCTTCAATGATTCAAATAAGCCTTACAAAATCAATGACAAATAATTCCTGTGAGGTCTGTTTTGACTACAGAGCCTCTCTTCACATTGCCACCATGGTCTAAAACCAGTAGTGAAGAAGTCACGAGAGTGGAAGACAACTTGGAGGGCTCCAGTCCTCTTAGGCAGAAGTGCATTTACCCTGCAATGAGCAGATACCACCTGCACAAGACGAGTCTGGCCCTGTTGATATCCCAGAACAGGCCCAATTCCTCGCTCAGCACTGCAGGGATTAGTGGGTGCTCGAAAGGCTGAAGGCTGTATTCATTCACTGCTTTAGGTTTCCTCAGAATGCACCCTGGGAACTGAGTTTGGTGGAAAATGTTTAAAGCTTCACAAATGCCATAATAATGCATTCTATTGCAAATAAAGTACGAGTAGAGATGATCTAAACAACCCCATGTGTGTGCAAATGTTACAAAATGGGCAAATGACCTCAGCAGAAATGGCTGCCTCAACTCCTTGTACATATAGGTTTGCATAAACAAAATGTCAATATCCATTCTGTGTTGAGGCAGTAGTCACCAGTGACTCGAGAAGTAAACTGGTTTTTCTTCCTACTTTTGTCACTGACCTGTCTAGCTGAACTTGCTCTTCTGAACAACCTTGGACAAGTCACTGGCTCAGGTTACCCCTTCCATAAAATGAAATTAATCTTTTTATCACACACTTCAAAAGCAAGGACATTATTCTGGGGACAGCAGGGCTTTAAAAAGCAGCAGTAAGACACTCTGTAGGCTCTCAGCTCCCTTAGCACCATTCCTGGATTGAGGGAATACAGACACACACAGCCCCTGAAAGACAGTTACGTGTGTATATATATATATATATATACATATGTATGGCACAAACCACTAGGGTGAGATTAATTCATTAAACCCGTTTCCAGGATACAGCATACCTCACTGATGCCAGCTACCAGCCTGATGGGCAGAGCCACACTTCTGGCTATTTTTTGCTCCTCTCTGGCCACCCTCCACATTCTCTGGGAGGACACCTGGCCCAGGGTGCCTGTTCTCCTCTTGGATCTGGGGACTGCCTTTGTGGTTGACCTTTTCACAGCTGCCAAACAGGGAAGAATCCTTACTCCTTCCTACCCCTCTGCACAACTGTTTGAGGCTAGTCTTGGATAGCTCTAAATAATTTGATTGTAAAAGTTGGTGCCAAACCTGCTGAGTCAGGAGAATGCTTTCCTGGTAATCTTCAGACACCTGTCAGAGGCAATTCCTTCCACAGCCATCGTGGTCGCTGCTGGCAAACTTGCAAATGATTCCAGCACTAAACGAGTAATTCTACCCTTCCCTAGAGCTGCTGCAAGTCTGGATACAAAAAAAAAAAAAAGGAGAAATGTTTGTGGAAGAGTACCCTCTTCACCCCTGTCAACAGGGACCCAGGGTAACTCAAATATTAGATGCCACCGAGCAAAGAGCCTCCTGCTCCCTGGCAGCACGAGTCTGCCAAACAAACTGAGTAGCTTTGTGTTGCTTAGAGCTTGTCAGAGAAGTGACAACTTGGGATTAGCTAGGAATGAAAGCTGCTATGATAGCTAAAGGACAGCTTAAAACCAACACAAACCAAGGCCTCTTGACGCAGGAGACTCAAGAGTGGCACAGGTGTTAGACAAGAACAGCATTGAATAAGAGCTCCTGCATATTCCAGCTCACAGGTTTTCATGCGTCATATTTAATTTCTGCACACAAGTTCACATTAAACTTATGAAAAAGGAATCACTGATTTCAGATCCTAGGAGCTTTAGCCAGTGACATCTCAGAAAATAAGATTATTTGCAGATCCTTTTTTAAGATCATGTGTACAGTCTATCGCATCATTTCATTTCAGTTCCTCGCTCTCTTACTGTCCAAGAGTTCTGCCTTGAACAATCTGTACTAGCTATCAGCACAGCTGTTTGTTTTTCTCCTGATTGTTGCTTATAATCATCCACTCTCCGTATTCCATGTGTACTTTACAGCCTGGTGTCAGAGAACAAATAGGAAGCTGAAAGAAATCAATTATTTGATTCACATCACATCACAAAGTGATGCTGACTTCTGCCCTGTAGGCTGCAAATGCTTGGGGGTCCCTGGTGTACTTCTCAGCAGTTCACAGAAGTTTATGGGCTTAAAGGCTTTTCATACAGATTTAAGGGGGGTTTAAAGACACTTTGCAGAAGCTTACAGAATCAATGGAAAATTTGTACGGTCTTCTAAAGGAAAAACACAGAAGACCACTGCCTGAAAAGTAATTGGGATTTTTTCTGTGTTTCTGTGTGTGCATTAAAACAACACCTGGCCCATTCCCAAGAAAGTCTTATTTACTACACAGACATTGAAATGCTTGTGCTGGCACGGGAGAGGTGGAAGCTGGGATAAGAAGAATAACTAACCCTGTAGGCAGAAATGGACTTTTTAAAGTGTTTTTGAATGAGCTTACATGACTCCCTGGAGGGGAGCAAAGCATGGGAGCAAAGGATGTCCCATCTCTAGAGAAATGGTTCCCCCCCTTCCCAGCACAGCTGTATGTTCTGCTCAGGCAGTCACCATTCTCTACTGCCTCAGGGAACTGGCCCTGCCAAAAATCAATGTGGTAGAACATAAAAATAATTTTCAGAGGTATCAGGTTGTTCAAGGACACCTGGCACAAGGGAGGTGGTAAAATATTGCAACAGAGGTGCCAGGGAAGGCTGGACTTGCAGGAACTGGCATTGTCAACAATGGGAAGATTGTCTAAGAGCATCAGCAAGACAGCCACTATCTTGGGGTAACTTACTGATTGCACTGGACTACCTGGAGAAGAGCACTGGCCTCCCAACCAGTCTCTTCTTTTCTCTTTTTATATGCAGAGAATTGAGTCACTTAGGATTAGACCACTTAGGCAATCACTTAGGAACTGCCCTTCCTAGCAGTTCCCTGCGACACAGGGAGGAGAGCATCCTTGAACCTAATCTATTGCTGATTCACCTCAGTTAGCTCCTATCACTTTGCACTGGCCTGTTCTGTATTAATCTGTTGTTAGAAGTGGGAAAAATACTGTATTTTTAAATTGGCTACAGATCCAGACCAGAAATTTGTGTAGCACTTCACAGGCTAAAGTCTGTTCTTTTGTGTGAAGAGTTTTTTGACAAGTTTATAAGCACAGCCTATGTCAGGCCCCTGGTTACATTCTGAAATGCCTCTCCTTTCTGGGAAAGGGCTGCCACAAACTGGAACAAGCTGAAAAATATTATTGAATAACTGTTACCTCTTGGGTAATGTCAGAGCTGTGTCACTAAATGAAATTCCTTGTGTCTGCAAAGTGCCAGACCTGTGCAGGCAAAGGAGGGCTGAGACAAGCCCCTGGTACCTCCAGTGTGGTCACCAGTCTGCAGACAGGTACAGGTGAGCCCTTGCATTCCAGCAAACACCTTTCCTGGCTGCCCTGGAAGCTCCCCAGGGCTGGGCAAAGCAGGCAGAATGGGAACTTGGCTGTGCTTGTGCTGCAGGACAGTGCAGGCACTGCTGCCTTAGAGCTGTGCTGACTCACCCCAGCCCCAAACCTGAGAAAGAAATAGGGAGGAAAAGGAACAGAACAGAAAAGATGTCTGATTCCAGCCTATCTGTGTGTCACCACATGCTCTCCCATGGACTGTATGCCCAGGTCAGACTGGAAAGATGAGAATCAGTCTTACAGACACCAACAGGGCAGTGAATTTCACATGAGCAGAACATTTTGGCAGAGCATTCTAAAAGACACGCGTGACAAAATTTCTCTTAGAGAAGGAAAAAAGGCTGAGGCAAATTATATGAAGCATTGTCCTTGCCCACCAAATCTCCCCTGACATCTTTATAACAAAGATACCAGAAAATGTTTAAATAGTATTGTAGGAATGGGACTACGATTAAGTTCATTTCCCTGTGGAGTCGTGAGATTTAATAGAAACAAGTCGAGGGCTGCAAGATAAGATCGCGTTCCCAAGAACTGACACTAGATGGAGCAAAACTGAATAAAAGATTTAGAGCAGTGAAGAAAAGATAAAGTTCCCGCATTTCTGCAACTCTAATGTGTTACTCATTTGAATTCTCATCCTTGATTATGGCTCTGAAAGTCACAATTAATAGCTCACTCTCTACACTTTGCAGGTCAAACACAGGTTCAAGCCAAAACAGGTATGTTCTGGGAAGGGGGTGCTGGTGGCACAGGGAGAGGGAGTGGGAGTGCTGGGCAGACCCAAAGCTGTAGAGGCACATCCACCTGGGGAAAGGTCACAGAGCAATAAAGGCTGTGGGGTTAGCCTGAGCTCCTGCTGCCAGCCCGGACCTGCTGGGCACTCTGCATGGACCAAGGAGGTGATTTAGCTCTGCTGTCCCACAGCTTCCCGGTGCTTTACCTAGCCTAAGGTAAGGCACATTGCAAGGCTGGCTGCCCAGTGCAGCTGCCCCACAGCAGTAGGCACTCGAAGTAACAAACTCCTGGGAAGATGCATCCACAAAAGGGATCCAGGAGCTGTTCCCCACTCTGTGGCAACAGTGGGAAGGACCCCAAATGACAATGGTCCAGTGTCTGCAATACAGGGAGCACTGGGATGCTACCCATGCATAGTGCATGCAAAAGTGCATGGCTTGCTGCTAGGGGATTCCTACCTGGCAGTGACAAGGGCATCTGGAAGTCACAACAGCCACAAGCATGCATTTGTTCTGGTAATTCACTTACAAAAAACAGATGCCTCCAAAGGTACAAAGAAATATCCAGTAAAAGAAAAGTTAAGTGAAAGGAATTTCATTAATGTAACTCCAGCATCTCCATTAATAATTTTCTTGAGTGCCTGTGTTTTTTATCTGAGCATCTTCCAGCTCAGCTTTTACAATGATGTTTTACCTGGGATAGTCCAGGTAAAACTAAAGCCAAAGAGTTATTGTTAACCTGTAATTTTTCTTTCTTTTCACAGATGACAGCAATGCAATAAGAAATCAAAGTATAAAGATCAATAACCCTTTTGCATCAACAGTTACCTGGTCTGAGGATCAATAGAAGTCTCTTGTGCATAGGCAGGAATCTTACCAATACCAATCCTTTTCTTTGTTCTTTAGTTGAAAGGCTGATTGATTATTTACAGGAAGAGCTTACAGTGCAGCTAACTTCAATCACCTGCACCCAAAAGGCCTGCAATCCCCCTCATCATGTACATGAAGGAAATGTATGAGGAAAATATAGATGAGCTCTGTTCACTAATAGATCCTCTTTATTCTGTGATAAGTAGGTGATTGATTTCTAAAGTCAGTTAAATACCAGGTAATCAGAAAGGTGTCAATGTAATTCAGCAGCAGAATTCATGGTCACACCCATATTTCAAGATAATTGAATAATGATTTCAGCAACTTGGAAAATCATTCATTTGAGGTTAAAACAAAACAAGGCTTCTCATTTATTTCAAAAAATACGTGTTTTGTGTTAGTAAGAAAACATGTCATTAATTTAAAGTTTTATCTTTTTTAGATCTAGAACTTATGTCTTTTGTAGGTGGTGCTGGTGTTTTCAGTCATTTAAAATTAATTATGGCCATTTAAAATTAAAAATTCCTTTTTGAAATAATGTTTTTCATATTCTGTTGATCATTCATGTCAACACTATACAAACAAGCTAATTTGTTGTTTCCAGAATTTCCCTATCTTTATTTTTTTTTTTAGTATAAAACAATGCACTAAATTCAATCAGAGTTTGTGAATAATTTCAGTTTCCCAGCACCTTAATTCTTGTTCTAGCCTTATATGTTCTGGTGGACTTAATTACATCAAAATTGCTTTGCCTGGCTCCAATTACAAGCTTCTTACAGTGGGAATGATGAGAAGAAAAATTGCAGCTTTGTTTCAGAACATTTAGACTAGTTCAAATAATTTAAAGTAATTTAAACCCAAGTTATTCTGTAAACACTTTCCAAATTTACCAAAGTTTTGAGTCAGTGGTTTTGGTCTCAGTTCAGAAAATAATGCTGCAGTTTCTATTCTTTTTAATTCTCTTCTTTCAAGAATGCTGTATATAATATATTGTCATCACAAGGTGCAAGAAAAGAGGAAGATTTTTGTATTTTAAGCCAGGGTTTTCTTTCACCTTGTGAAGACAGGGCAGCCAATGTCAGCTGTGGGAGCTTTGGGAACACTTGGCCAGCATCCTCTGCTATTCCTACACCTCCTTTCAAGAAACCCAAGAGAACTTCAAGGCTTGGGGGCCTTAGGTAGATGGCATGCCCAACTTAATTAAGTAATATCCCAGTATTTCCCAGAGCTTTATGTTGTAGCATTACAGGATGACTCCAAACAGAATGTTTTATTGCAAATTATCAATATCCAGATCCAAAGACCACAACCTGTAAATAAAGAGGATCTTGATAAGCTTTTAGCTCAAGCCAATGTCTATAGACATGTGGTTTTTTAAATCTCTTACCTTAAGAGTAAAGTGCACTTTTTTACCTGTTTCTGCTCTCAGTGTGGCAGATCATAATAAATAAAATTCTTTCCAGCTCTCCACTCCAATCTCTTATAGAAGAGATTTAATCCAACTTAAAAAAAAAAAAAAAAGAAAAAAAAAGAAAAGAAAATAAAAAAGAGCAATTGTAAGACTGAAGTCCAAGCTAGAAATTCTGAGTGTTATTAAGAAATATCATTGAGACAGGGCCTCTTATCCAGTAATCAACTTTCAGATCAGGCAAAGTTGATGTGCTGGGTCGGGGACTTAGAGGAAACATACTGTTATAAAAGAGCAGATATATCAGAATTTTGTTTTTATAAAGAATAAGCTACTGTACTACTTGTAACTAAAGGGATTTCAATATAAGCATTTTTCGACTTTTGCAAAGCAGGTCAAATGTGCAAAGGAAACTGGATAGCAATTTTTCTACACATTTTGAACAACAAAATGAAATATTTATTTTGGAAGAAGAATGATATCTTGGAATATCTTTGAATACTTTTCCTGGTTTCCTCGGTGTCTGTTACCCATTTCAGTAACACTGCAGTTCATCAGCAGCATTTGCTAACAGATAAACTAAAGCAGTAATGTGATACTTGTAAGTAATTGTGTGTACATGTGTAAGTGAATAAAGCATCTTGTATGGTATCTGTTAATTGATTTGCTTCCTGTAGTATCATTTTAATTAAGACTTGGAACAGAAGAGAGAGCATGTGGTCAGGGAGGAAAGCTATCACCTTCCCTTATTTGTGTGAACAAATGTTTCAGTACACATCATTTCAGTACACTATGGAAAATAAAGACAAAAATAAACAAGAAATTCTAAGTTACAAGCAGTAGAGGAGAAAGGCCCGGAGAATTAAGGCTGGTAATCTTGATTGGGCAAATGTGCTGGGGTGGTGAATAGATTATGATTTCTCAAAACCTTTTGGTGTGTGCCTTGGCTCCCTGAGAATGGGAGAAGGATGAGCAATACTGAGACGAGACAGCTGGGCACAGGGGACCCTCAGAGCTACTGCTTCTGCTGTCACTGAGAGGTTTGGGGCACTTACACAGGGCTGCAGTCTTTTGTCACCTCGGAGCTGCTGTTCTGTCCATTCCTACAACCAGCTTTACCAGCACCACTTGGAGCATCAGCAGCTCCTAAATTCAGGCCAAGCTGCACAGCAGTGCATGGAAATAATCAGTGAAGGAAAACGAGATGAAAGAGGAACATTTGGGAGGCATTCAGTCAAAAGACTGAACAAGAGACACTCTTAGCTCCATGGATTTTTGATCAAGGATTCAGCCCAGGCAGTCAGCATCGAGCACAACAGGCATCTACCTGCACTCGCCTGTTTGCCTGTCCAGCACAGCTTCTGCCTGTCCATGCTAAGCACCCCGTGCTCTCCCTGAGCTCACAGGCACTCCCCTGAATGGGTAACACTGGGAAACTCTCCAGAGTCAGGGTTTGGACACATGCCCCAGCATGTCATGCTGGACCTCAGTCCCTTCCCAGCAGATGCCCAGCAACATAATGATGCTCGTGAATAGAGTTATTCAGAAGTGCAGACAGTCACAGGCACAAGAAGTGAGCTAAGAGGTGCAGGCACAGCGAGAGTTTCTAAAGAGATAACGACACAGCATTGGCTTTAATTACAATGCAAGTGCCACAGCAAGTGAGATCATTCAAATCAATTCCTCCTGTCAGCTGCATCAGTGCAAATCAAAACTAACTGCAGGAGTCACACAGCTTGTTGTGGCCCTTGTTCACATGATAATAAATCAGGCAAAAATCCACTGGACTCAGTACAGCTGCATGGATAATAAAAAAGTGCGTGTGGGTGGAGTCCTGGAAATCAGACCCCAGTGATATAAATCCACTCTGAGCAGTATGAGAAAGAGAAGAGTCTGATTCAGCTCCTTTGAAACAGAAAGGATGGCAAATGTCAAAAGTCAAAACATTTGCAATATGATTTTTTCTTAGCTTCTCTCATGCCTGTAAATGAAAACTCAGATAATTTTAGCCAGGAATATTTTTTTCTGTTTCTCACAACTGTGCTTAATCAAATAAAAAAGATTATTAAAATTCTTTGACTCACCAAGCAAATAATGGGAAAACACAAGCAAAGAAAGCACCTAACTAGCAGACCTGATAAAGAAAGGATGTTTGTACTATACAAATAGGACCAATAAAGGCTTCAAATGTCTGAAAATTGCTCTCATCACATAGAGGGAATATTATAATAGTCAGCCTAGGTCTGACAGAGGTCCACCTTCTTCCATAGCCACTTTGTCACAGCAACATTGGAAGCATGTGCCAATGCTCTCCTAAAAGACCCTACTACCCTACAGCAAACTTATGCTCAGTGTCACTAAGCCAAAAGTGTTGAATTTATTTTCTTGTGTATTTTTCCTCCATTCTCAGTAGTGGTTAATTCCATAGATACCATATAGTTACACATAAAAAATCACAAAGGCCTTTACCCTCCCTATCACTCCATCAGTGAATTTGTACAAATTTTCATGCTTGCACATCATGAAAGCAATTAACATAGTCCTAAGAAGGCATGTTCACTCTTAACCAAGAGGAGAAATGAGACATGGAGCAGCCTATGTGCTGCAGCAAAGGCCAGTGCAGGATCAGCAGAGCAAAGAATACAGACAAAATTTTCCAAGCTCAACATGGGTGAGCTACCTAATAGACCATCGTTCTTCTCTACTACTGCCTCCAACAAAAATGCTTCTTTTGGAATGGTTAAGTGTTAAGTATTTCACCTTATTGAATATATATGGTTTCACTTCTCATATTTCTGGCTTTAATTCCTAGACAAACCTTGTTCTTTCACTGACAGCTGCACCAAGGGGAGCCTCAGCAAAGTCAGTGACATTGCACTGGGCTTGAACACTGTGTGAGCTAATAACAAACCCAAATGCATCAGAAGCAAAGTGGCACAGTGCACACATTTTGTCTTCTGCATTCAGACAAAAAGTCTGTCTCATGTTTCCTTCCCCACACCCCTTTTCTCCATCCTAAAATCCATAGGCTGCTTGCAGGATGCAAGTGGGTTCATTTGCACCCCTCGCACCACTGCTGATGGAGATCTGTCCTGACGCAGACAAGGCCTTTCCTTTACAGATCAGATCCTATCCAGCACTATCAGAAATCCTCCTCAGTCAATGGGCAATTAAAATAATTACCTTTAATCGTATTCTTCAATTATTTGGCAGTACTGAGGGGGGATTGGGAGGGCTGGGACCAGATGCTAACATATTCTGTTGTGATTAAAACTGACTGAAATGCTCTAATGAATACAAACCACTGAATATTCACCTGTTTTGGGAACAACCTCTGTATGTTTTAAGCTGCCTCATATTTAAACTCATTAGAGTGACACCGGGGAAGCAACAGAAAGCTGTGCTGAGAGGCCAAGGACTCCTGAAGGGACCCCTTCAAAGAAGCTGCTATCCTGAAATGTGTGCAAAGCACAAAAGAAAAAGCCACTGCGTGCTCCTGCCTGCCAAAGGGATGCAGTGCCAAAAGTAGAGCTGGAATGGCTCTCAGGTACCTCAGGGGGTCCTGGTGTGAGGAGATGACTGGATGTGTGTGGTATGGAACTGTGAACAGTGGTAGATTCACAGGGACTGGCTGGGGATGCCTGGGAAATTGCTTTTTCTTATAAGCAAACTGATATAAAGGAGAACTAAATATGAGAGAGAACTAACTGATGTTGGGAAGAGGTAAAAAGTGATTGCAGAGGAAAAGGCAGAATATGTGAACTTGTGTCAAATCAATGTTTTGGCAGTCAGAACGACAGAAAAAGCAGAGTAGTGACAACAGTCATTTAATTTGGGAGTTTTGCACTATCTGATACTCTACTTGAGACACTAAGTCTTCAAGTCATACGGCTGTGGCAACACCCACTATAATTTTAAATATACCTTGCTTTTGAGCACATTAATAAATAATGCAGATCTAATTTATAACATTTTCCAAATAATGTTAATAAGATAATAACTCAAATCTAGTTCCTATTACAACATGATCTACACATACAAGATGGTGCAAATGGAAAATTATTCTCAAACCTATGTGATTTAACACTAACATAACCAATAAGCTTTTGATTCAGTTCCAACACCTGCCAGGCTTTTCAAACAAGAAGATGAAGCTGTGACTGGACCTTCTGTGTGAGTCATAAACACCTTCCTACCACGACTAAAGGAAAATTAAAACTACATCTCATGTCGATGATTATTCAGTAGAAACCATTCATTGACCTAAAAGCACATGTTTTTTCAGGCATCCTTCTTGGGGAGGTGATGTTATTGATCAGAATCGGGCTGAGGCTTTGAGCATGTCAGGGAAAGGAGCAGAGGGCAGCTGTGAGAGCAGTAAGGCTCATCTCCAGCAGCAGCAGCAGCAAAGAGACCATACAAGGATCCGGGGATATCCAGAAGCAGTACCTACCCCCAAACCAAATGAGAGCTGCTAGTTCTATTCTCCTAAGCCTTCCTACTATTATCTATTATCTTTTCCTGCACAATTTGTCATAATCTCTGACTCGTCAGGCCAATTAATCATGCTTCAGAAAAAATGAGATTTCTCACAAGGAGATTATCTGTCTCTGACAAACAAGGGATAATTCAATTAGCTTCCTTTTCTAAACATTTAGTAACTGGTTTTGGTAAATTAGTCCTTTTTGTAATTTAGCTATAATTTAGGAAGATTTAATATGTCATTAGGCACACCAAATTCTGTGTTAATATAACATTATGGCTGAGATTTTAATTGCCCCAGAGTCAGGAACTGTGTACATAAATGGCTTGATTCCCACATGGAAGCAGCTGATAGGAAATACATAGAGCTCCACAGAAATTCTTAAAATCCCTTCTTTTAGTTAAGCACATGCTTAAGGACTATGGAGGATAGGAGGCTTTCTCTGAATTGGATAAGAACTCCAAGAATTCAGTGTAAAAGATAAATATTCACATATTTATTTGCAGAATTTCTATACACTATGGGAATTTATGGATTTAACTTGGATTTAACCCTCTTCACAGTTCTCAAAGTTCCTGTTTCCCATCCTGCAATTTCCTGGGAAAATCCCAGTATTTAACAGTAGTACCTGACTGTGGCCTCCCTGATAAGAATTTCTTCTGCTTCCTTCTGGAAATTCTGGGCCTTATAGTCCTTTTGGACATTGCCCATGGATACTAATGTAATGGCATTAAAGAAGTCAATGCAACTACATACTGAGAGTAAAAATCATTGTCTTTCATGCTGGGGGAAAATCAAGAGAAAATCAAAGCAATTGAGTTGTATGGAGGTTAAAAGGCATAAGTGAAGAAGCGGATTTTAAAGTAATGTTAGTTGCTTTACCACGGCAGGTTCAGCCAGACGTTGCCTGAGCTGAAAGTGAAGAGCTACTTAAAGCAGACTGATCCCCACATCCTGCTGGCTGCAGCCTGGCCATACACGGATCCAGAGCTTCCTGACTGGTCTCTGGAACAACTGGACTCGGGGTATTTCCCAGGACACTGAGTAGCAACCTGCCCATGGCAGATCCATTCAGAACTCATGTTTGACTACATGGATCCACCAAAAAGTGCTATAATTTGCAGAATCTCTTTCAGAGAATTTTGGAGCTCAGGCCAAGGCAGATTCCTCCCACCA